CACCATCTTGTTGACAACTTTTCGCTTCGGCTCTGGTATATGGCACGATACAATGCGATTATTCTCGACTTCAATGCTTGCTGTGACAATATTTTTTTTTTTTTCAATACCCTCAAGGCGAGTTGAGAATACATTAGCATTCGGCTTGAATAACGTTCACATCTTAATTTTTTCGTGCCGGTTGCTTAGGTTAGACAGCAGCTTTTTGAATTTATCTTTTCCTTCTAGCTTCTTGGTTTTAAAATTGAGATTGTCGATTTTAAAATCTGAAAAGATTTTCGAGTTGACAAGGACATCTTGGGCAATTAAGAGATCATGCTGTATAAAATCGTCCTCTACAATATAAATCTGAGCTTCAATGGTTTCCAGGCTTACGATCAGAGCTTCGATCAAAATACGGGTGCTACCATAAATACCTTTAATTTGCATACAGCATTTATGACGATTTTCGTTTATTCTTTTTGCAGCTGAGTTTTTGACAAGACTACATTGGCTGCCAGTATCGATGAAAGCAGTAAACGGAAGAGACTGGACAATGATAGACTTTGTAAATAAATGATCGTGATTCGTGGTGCTTATCTGGCACAGATTTACTTCAGGTAGCGCAACGTTTGCACTTTTAAGGTAACGGACATTTGTGCTCAATATAACCCAATTCACAGGTGATTTTGGAATTTTCGAACTAGCAGCGTTCTCAAATTTAGGTTTAGTTTCCTCTCGTTTAATTGTTGTTTCGTGTTTAGTATCATTTACCTTGCGTTATGCATGCGTAGTTTTATAGTTCCCCGGTAAGTCACGAATCGTGCTGCGTTTGCTGATCCTCACAACATATACAAGGTAAGCGCTTTATGTATACGTATGCGTATTGAATTCGTTGTATGATATGTGTCCAGGTGGCGTGTAAGTACACATATACTCGTGTTCGGCCGTTCTTTTTACCGTTATGGGGAAACAGCGCCGTGGAAGGAATTTCGTCAACCTTCGTATACAATAAACGCGGTCATTTATTTATCCGTTTGTTTTTTTTGCATTCACATTGACGTACTCGGAATTAATATTGATCGGGTTTATTGGTCTCTACATAAATCAACTTGTTGTTCATCCCACTTCTGAAACTAAGGATAGGCCGAATATTGAAAATACGGATGGCGGCGTTTAGATGACAACACAGTATTTACTATAGTTTATTTGAGTATTTAATGTAAACAGAGTAATGTATTTCATAATGTGAGTTAAAGTTATTAAACAAGAGCGTTGTACCGGTACCCAAGCGATATTCTAACCAACTAACTGACATCGATGCAGCACATCAGTTATCGCTTTGAGTATCGGCCACTGGATTCTATTCGCCGATGGCATCAGGCATCTTATTGGGTCGGTCCGTTAAATTGAATCGCTTACACAAATACTAAATCGGACAGAAATTTATAACACAAACTTTTCATTTGAAAGAGTGAATAAATATTAAAACCATAATAATTCAAGCCCCCACACAAATTTCGAAAAACCGAGTATGCAGTTTTTTCCGTTTTTTTATAGATTATAAAAACAAAATTTGAAGTTGGTTGGTGGAAGAATGCGGATTTTTCAAACAAACTTTGGAGCTCTACTCCACTCCCCTTGGAGCTCAAATTCACCTTCACCACAAAAGACAACTTGTCTCCAAATTTTAGCTTCCTAGTTCGTATCGTTTGGGCTGTGTTGCTTGTGTTTCAATTTTTCCACGGGACAACCCCTATATTTCATGCCCAGGAAAAATGGTGAAAAACCAAGTATGCAGTGTTTTCTGAATTCTTTCAAAGAATACAAAAACCAAGATTGAGGCCAATCGAATTAAAAATAGAGATTTTTCATGTAATGTTTGGAGCCCGTTTCCCCCATTGGCGCTCGAATTTTCCACAAATTTCAGATTCCTAGCTCTTACCGTTTGGGCTGTGCGTTGATTGCCAATCAGTCAGTCAGTCCGGACAAACTGTTTTATTATACTCTGTACATGAAAGGCAGAAGGAGGCGTGGCAGACCCTACAAAGTATATATATTCTTGATCAGCGTGACAAGACGAGTTGATATAGCCACGTCTGTCTGCCCGTCTATCTGTCCGTCCGTATGAACACCTGGATCTCAGAGACTATAACAGCTAGAGACACCAAATTTTGCACAAAGATGCCTTATGTGTGTACGCTGAGTAAGCTTGTTTTATTTTTTTGATTTTCCCCCACTTCCCCCTATGTGGGTTTTCCCGATTTCCCATTCGTATAATCGCCCAAATATCGGACATTATAAAAGCTAGGGACACCAAACTTTAGTCCCAGATGCCTTATGTCAATACGCAGAAAATTTGTATTTTTGAATTTACTTCCCCCTTTCCCTCGCAATTAGTGATTTTCCATAATTCCCGTGTTTCTTGGAATTTTTCATTGAAATTCAAAAATTACCCCAGTTAGTGATTATGAGTCTGTATGCTAAGTTTCATCATGATAGGCCGATTTTACAGGAAGTTATAAATATATATGAATGTATGACCAAACAGTGCCCGCAGCTGTTGTTACTGCTTTGCACAGGCACACGAGACATACACACACATACACGCATAATTATTCTACACATATGTACAGAGAGTATTTCAAAGTCGGGACACCCAACTTTAGCTTCTCTACTTGTTATTATACACTTCCGCTCAACTGAATAGTTTCAACGATTCTCAAAAGTTATATCTTGTGAAGCAAATCGTCGATCTTGATGATGTGGCGACGCGACGTAAACAGACATTCAATAAAATAGCTTGGCAACACATAACATACATATAAGTACACATAAGCCTATACACCCATTGTTTTAGCGTAGATAATATTGGCACCATAGTCTGTACGCGCACACGAATTACAGGTGCATTGACACTGGCGAGCCAACATAAGCAAGAATAAGACACATATTATTCTGCTACACCAGCATAAGACCAACAAGCACTGCACATATAAGTTTATGAGCCAAATTGAGCTGACACCAGCATACTTAAGCTTATAATACATGCTTGGGCATCATTATTGTGAAACCGCCAACACATAGAAATAGTAAATGTAAATAGTCATAAGCTAGTTTTAAGCATGGCTATATAAGCCATGAAACATTAAATGTAGATAGTCATAAGCTAGCTTTGAGCATGGCTATATAAGCCATGATTTGTAAGAATAAAATCAGTATGCAAATTACCAACGAACGGTCTGTTACTTTGGGTCAATGCGGGAACCGCTGATCTTTATCACGCCAACTCCCACGTTGAACTTCATGCTCCCAAGGATTGCCAGCCGGCATCCTTGGTCACTGCAAGCACTCACCATCCGGTTCAGGATTCTGGTGCAGCTCGCTATTAAGTACGAAAACTAAATCAAATGTCCTGCGTCGTTTCACTCAAGCACAACCAGGACAACCGGTGTTACTGGCACCTACTGGACCACAAGGGTCCACTGAAGCATCAGGGCGACAAGTGCCTTTCATTAAACGGACCACTGGGATCCCGCCCTGATCAACAGAGAGACAACAAACGTCCTTTAGCTTAACTCGTCAGGACCAGAATCGTCCTGCCGATTCGCACTAATTTTTTAGATCAATATAATTCAGTAACATAAAATCTAATAAAACAAGTAAAAAAGGGTTTTTTAATGACATTTTAATCATAAAAATATACTAATTACAAGTGAATTAGTATTTAATACTTCCACCTTTATTTTCTATAATTTCAAAGATTCGACGTTTTAAGGACTTATAACAATTTTCTAGGACTAATCGATATAGTAACCCAGGATTTCTTTATGGCGTCAACAAGGTTCTCAGTGTCGGTAAATTGTCTCCCGCCCTCGTATGCTTTTCGGGAAAACAATTCCCAAACGTTTTCGATAATGTTTAGGTCAGGTGAGTATAGCGGCCACTCAAGCATCTTAAAATTGTTGTCCTTGATCCACTGTTTTATGACTCTTGCGGTATAAACCTTTCGTTGTCTTGTTGATACAACCATGGAATCGATCCAAAAACATTTGAAAAATGTGGGAATGCCTTTTGTATCACATTTTTGTACCCATTGGCTTTGTTTTTTGTCGACAAGAACTGAAGCTCTCTTGTCCCATAGTACATAATTTCTCCACCCACCATTACGCCGCCGGAAAAAACTACATTCTGCCATTGCTTACGTGTGTCATTGAGAGGTGGTTTTCTTTTTGTTTTTAAACTCTTCAAATATGTGGCATTCCGAATAACGCATTTTATCGTTACTAAACTTGCACTAACACCGCAATCTTCCCTGTTTTTGGCCGCAGAACCTTGGTAATTAGAAGCAGTTCTAAGGAGTTCAGCTGGAGTTGTCGCATGCGGAGACCCTCCTTTCACATTTTCCCCGTAATTTATTTTATTGCGTACAAAATCACCAACAACATTTTCACTTCTTCCGAGTTTTAATGCAATTTGGCGCTGATTTAGGCCGGAATTGAGATAACCTTTTATTTGACCTTTTTTAAATTCAATCAATTGTTTTCCGCGACCCATTCTATAAAAAACAACGGTAAATACTTCTAATTTAAAATAGAAAAAAAGTTGGCACCATTTACTTCACGCGGTCAGTCGATCACAAAGTAAAAGTGAAGTAGTTGAACCTATTCTGATGAGACAAAAATTTGCGGCGTTTTTAGCATATATAAGACGAAAGCAAAATTCTGAACTACCGTTTGCAAAATCCCGTTACTTTTTTTATGCTTTATTAAATATAAACAAATAAAGGTTCACAACATAAAATTACGAAAAATCACGAAATTTAAGCAGCATTCTTTGAACCTATTCAGTTGAGCGGCAGTGTATATAGATTCTGTTCATTCTCAAATGGAACCAAAAACGGCATGCGCGCTTTGTCATATTGAAATTTACGATCACAAAGTGACGCATTTCCGATTTTGCAAAATAACGAACATGAACGTATGTATATAACAGTAATAAAAAATAAAAAATTAGCTTACCTCATCAGCTACACCTTGAGCGGCAATCTGCAGCTCCTCCAACTCCGTCTTGGGCACTTGTGGCCCGGATGTTTCTTCGGCAGGATCAGACGGCATTCTAAAAAATATACGAATACAGTTACTTTCAAATTTTGTGATGATGATCTTCAATTTCTTAATTTCACATAATCGAACTTTTAACAGAAAACAGGCTTGGTATCTTATCTACTCGAATGTAACATATATTAATACATATACATATATGTATGTATATAACACCTTTACTGTACATATATATCATGGCTTATAATATGGTAACCAACATTGAGGTTAATACAATTTTTATAAGCGCTTTATTCTCCAATCTAAATTAAACCAAAACACCATAGGTTCACAAATCGCTCCAAAAAAATAAAAAATATCGTACGGAACAACATTTCTTTTTGTGTTATTATGTTGTGAATCGGCTTGCAGATTGGGCCATAGTTCAAAATTCTTGGCAACACTATACAGACAATCGTTACAAAAAAAAAACATCCAACCAACACATCGTATACGGGTATATTAAAGAGGACGAAGCACAAGAAATTTAAAAACACTCAAGTCACAACGTAACAGCGTTCAATTATGGCATCGTTGTGCAAAATGTGGCGTCTCTAGCTCTTATAGTCTCTGAGATCCAGGTGTTCATACGGACGGATATACGCACAGGTATAGATCAACTCGTCTTGTTATGCTGATCAGGAATTTATATACTTTGTGGGGTCGGTAATGCCTCCTTCCGCCTCAAACCCAATTTACTCTTACACATTTCATGTACAGATAATAATACCCTGAATACACTCCCAAAAATTATTTAAAAAATGGGAACTTTAAATTAATTAAATAAAATTTTTTAATACATACATACATAAGTGGAAACATGTGTGTGAAGTACAGAATTATGTCAAAAACATCATCAACAACAATATTTATGGCTATAACTTTCTTTCTAATTGATCTATCATAATGAAACTTAATATACAAGCACATAATCTCCAACTGGATGTGACTACCAAATTTTAGTTCGAATTTCCAAGAGGGGGATTGAGGGTGCATCGGAAAAAAAATGAACAAACTTGCCCTTTCTCGGTCTTAGGAGAACCTACATAGGATAGGATTTATGCAACGAAGAAAGCCAAAGGTTTGACTGTGCGTCGGGGCACCCGACTTTAGTTTCAGCAATCATTTTTTGTGTTCTTATACGCTGTACCCAAAGGGTAAAAGGGTATATTAGTTTTGTGCGAATGTATGAAACAGACAAAAGGAGGCGTGGCAGACCCCACAAAGTATATATTCTTGATCTATATCTCGGACGAAAACTATCTAATACCGCATCGAACTCTTCAGTGACCAGTGCTGCTAATAAACAAAGCAAGACAAGTAAAATAGCTAAAGTCGGGTCTCCCGACTTTGAAATGCTCTGTACATATGTTTAGAATAATTAAAGAAATTAAAAAAATAAGACAATTAAAATAAAAAATTTGATCGATTTTACCTCTTTTGGCATTCGAACTCTCGTAAAGGGTGTATAATTGCACATATACAAAGCAATTGCGTCTATGTGAGTGTACGTATGTAAATATATATATATATTTGCGAATATACGAATTCGTGTCTGTGTAAGCATGTTCGCAGTCAACCAAAGCACCAGCATCAACAACAGCCGCGGGCAGCGCTGCAGCAGCATATATATTTATGGCTATAACATCTTGTTATAGCCACCGGTCTATCATGATGAAACTTGGCACACGGACACATAATTGCTAACTGGAGGTATTTGCAAAATTTTAGTTCGAAATTCCAAGAATTACGGGAGTTAGAAAAAATCGCGATTTGCTCGGGAGATGGAGAGGGAGGGAAATTCCAAAATACACATTTTCTGCGTATTCACATAAGGCATCTGGGACTAAAATTTGGTGTCCGTAGGTCTTATAGTCTCCGAGATATAGGCGAATGTACGAATGGAAAATCGGGAAAACCCACATAGGGTGGGAAATAAAAAAAATAAAACAAACTTGCATAGCGTACACACATAACGCATCTTTGTGCAAAGTTTGGTGTCTCTACCTCTTATAGTCTCTGAGATCCATACGGACAGACGGACAGACAGGACTAGATCGACTCGTATCGTCATGCTGATCAAGAATATATATACTTTGTGGGGTCTGCCACGCCTCCTTCTGCCTGTTACATTTTCAGCTCCCGCAAAGCTAATATACTCTTGTACATTTTATGTACAGAGTATAATAATAATAAAAAAACATAATACAAAATTTAGAACGCCAATACATACAAGCATTTTTTCAACACATTTTGTTTAACATTTGCTGATAAATTCCTTTTATAAAAACTGTAAGCATTATTCTGCTCATTTGAGACGCAACAAATTCCCAATTCCTTTTCAATAATTTCCAATTCCTTTTCAATATTTTCCAATTCCTTTTCAATAATTTCCAATTCCTTTTCAATAATATTGTTATTTTGTTCAACACATTTTTTTTGACAGTTTTTAGTAAATGGCAAATCAGAATAATCTAATTAGACCCCCAGTACTGAACACAAGTTCGACAGCGACTAGAAACGGAAACATGGACGAAACGACTCAACAGTTGATAAGGAGTTAGATAGGAGAAGTGTTAAATCAGCAATTGCCCGTGCTTTTGGAAAGTCTAAATCCTATGCCAGTAGATTTCGCGTGCACCAAGACACAAACCATAAATCCGAACTTCCAAAGAGACTTTGAAGTTTTAGACAGAGTACCAGATATCGCTAAGTATATAAAAAAAATTTCTGGCGATCCAGTAGGATTTAATTCTTGGAGAAAAGGCGCAGAAAGAGTTCTAGAAATATACTCCGAGGACGCTAGGAAAGGCACCCCTAAAAATTTTGCTACTTTACACACAATTCGTGTCAAGATTACAGGGTATGCATACGAAGTTCTGTATTCGTACAATGTGCCCTTGAATTGGGATTCCATATCGAGATGCCTCTCTCTACACTTCGCGGATAAACGCGATATCAGTACATTAGAATATCAAATGACGACATTGGTGCTCACCAAAATGTGGAAGACTTCTACCAAGTTGTCTACAAGTACTTGTCACTGATATTGAACAAAATCGGCTCTATGAATCTGGGAACGGAAGCAGAGATAGTCATGACCAAGTCATACAGGGACAAAGCATTAGATACATTCATAAGGGGTTTAGGAGGAGACCTACCTCGGTTACTTGGAATCAAAGAACCTGACGACCTCCCATCGGCATTACTTGTGTCTACAATTAGAAAACCAAAAATATCGAACGGCCTACGCTAATAATAACAGTCAAAATTCAAACTTCAGGATTCCCGAACAAAAACCGGTACCAGCACCACGCACAACACTACTAAACTATAACCTTAACTACCGACAACCTCCTCCAGTTCCACCGCGAAGAACGCTACCACCGACTATACCACAATACCCGACTAATATGAATCTGAACAATAATTATTCAGGTTTTGGACAACCAACCCACTCAATCTCACACAACCAAACTTTGCACGTTTCGAGCACAATATGTCTGACGCTCCGTGGTTAAATTTCCAACATCAAAAACCGCAACAGACCGCTCCATCTCGTCCAATGGGTGCCAAGCCACAACCAAGGCCAGATCCTACGGTTGTTGACCAAACATCAGATCAAGAATGGTCAATTATATGAATAGACCACAGTTTGAAGTATGCAAAAGACCTCCTATTTCCATGACTCAAGTAGACAAAAAACAAGTAGAGAAGCTAAAGTCGGGTATCCCGACTTTGAAATGCTCTGTACATATGTGTAGAATAATTATGCGTGTATGTGTGTATTTGTGTGTGTCTGTGTATGTCTCGTGTGCCTGAGCAAAGCAGTAACAACAACAACAGCTGCGGGCACTACTTGGTCTTATGTACTATGGCTATAACTTCCTGTTAAATCGGCATATCATGATGAAACTTGGCATTTCGACCTATAATAACTAAATGGAGGTATTTGCCAAGTTTGAGTTCGAAATTCCAAGAATTAGGGGAGTTACGATTTGCGTGGGAGAGGGGGGAGAGAGGGAAATTCCAAAGTACACATTTTCTGCGTATTCACATAAGGCATCTGGGATTAAAAGTTGGTGTCCCTAGGTCTCATAATCTCCGAGATATAGGCGATAATACGAATGGGAAATCGGGAAAACGCCCATAGACGGGAAGTGGGGGGGGGGGGGGGGAATCAAAAAAATAAAACAACAAAAAACATAACGCATCTTTGTACAAAGTTTGAAATCTCTACCTCTAATAGTCTCTGAAATCCAGGTGTTCATACGGACGGACGGTCGATTAGTCTCGCCATGCTGATGAAGAATATATATAGTATGTACAGAGTATAAAATCAACAAAAATAACACCGTAATCATGCCTCAAGCACTGTTTACACCAGATGTAGCTCCCTCTGACTTTTTTCTACACTTCCACAACTGAACAGACCAAAATATGGAATTGATGAGATAAGGCCATAATCGAAGAACGATCTGATGGCCATACCGAAATGCTTCGAGGATTGCGGTTATGCTCTGGTATAAGTGCATAATATCTGAGGAGGATTACTTTGAAAGCGACGAAGTGTACATTTGTGAATAAGTGAATATTTTCCATAAAAATTTGAATAGACTATGTATGTTGGTGACTTTAAAGCCCGGAACTCTCTGTGGGGTTCCACTATCAGGGACGCTAAGGGCTGTGATGAGACTCTGCCGCGGGTATGCATCCCGAAAATGTGCTGAAAATTTGTTTGTTGTGCACTCCAAAGTGTCGTTACATAAACGCTGCCGTGCGATTGCAAAATAAAATATATCTTTATTTCAATTCAGACAATGTGAACTTGGTGTTTTATTTCAAATAAAAAAGACCGCTGTCGCTCCAGTGCGAACTCTCCTCCGCTGCCGTAAAACTAAATCTACCCTACAACTCCTGGCCACGCTTCTTACTTACACTACTACAGAATTCAACTTACAAGTATATACTTAACTTACTAACTGAACTTATAACTACCCTTGTCTCGCTCGTAAC